AGGACGAGGGGGAATGGTTTGAAGTTGTGCCAGGGCAGGTTTAGGTTAGACATTAGGAAAAACTTCTTCACTGAAAGGGTTGCCAGGCTCTGGAAGGGGCTGCCCAGGGAGGTGGTCGAGTCCTCATCCCTGGAGGGATTTAAAAGGAGGACAGATGAGGTGCTTAGGGCCAGGGTTTAGTGGTGGGGTGGCAGGGGTAGCTTAAAGGCTGGACTCGGATGATCTCAAAGGGCTTTTCCAACCAAAGTGATTCTGTGATTCTATTCTATGATTCTAAGTTGGTGTGGGCTTCTCTGAGGACGCAGAGGCTTCGCTGGCCGCTGTCAGGGTGTGCTCACCGTGTGCCTCACAAGCTGAACCATTGTTTTCCCATCCCAAATCATAGAATCCTGGGTTGGAAGGGACCTCCAGGATGATCTGGTCCAACCTTTCTAGGCAAGAGCCCAGTTTAAACAAGACTGCCCAGCACCCTGTCCAGCTGCATCTTCGAAGTGTCCAGCTAACTGCCAGCTCGGCAGCCCCCTTCCCCTGGCGGTGGTTTTGTCTCCCTGCCCTGTTCGGAGCAGGAAAGCCCCATTCCCGCTGTACCCGTGCTGCCGGGTCAGCCGCTCTGGAGCCAGGGAGCCTCTGGGGGCAGAACCGGGAGCAGGAGCCGAAACGGGCCTGGGAAACATTCCCTGCCCCCCTGGGGACCGGCGCTCTCCCGAGAGAGGCGGCAGAGGCTTGGCTGAGCTGACGCGCAGCCGGGGCTGGAGAGGTGAGCAAGGCTAAGGAGAGGGCCTAGCGGAGCGTGCCCCGCTCTGCGGGGAGCCCCGGGGGGGCTTTGCCAACCAGCTCCCCTTGGAGAGGAGGAGGAGGAGGAGGAGAGCCACGCCCGTGTGCTGTATGGCTCCGTTTAAAGGAATTTGGGTTTCTCTGCAACTGGGGAGTCCTGGTGGGCTTGGGGTTTTGTTCCCTCCAGCCCGCCCGAAGGCACGTACAGAGGCAGGGAGGGCACCGAGCTGGCAGTTCAGCTTTCCATCCCACATTCCTGTGACTTCCTCCAGCCTGGGAGCGTGCCTGGAGCACTGGAGGCGTTCGGATGCAGGATCAGCCTCTGTGTTCAGCGGCGTCCCACGTCCCCGGCACTGTGAAGCCCCGGGGCGCGATGGAAGGGGCGCTCTCCCCCCTCTGCTGAGCTTCCTGACCTGGGTCTGCCCCTTCTCCTTGCAGACGATGGTGCTAGCGAGCGGCGGCCAGGACGGTGCCATCTGCCTTTGGGATGTGCTGACGGGGAGCAAGGTCAGCCACATGTACGCCCACCGGGGGGACGTCACCTCCCTCACCTGCACAACCTCCTGCGTCATCAGCAGCGGCTTGGACGACGTGATCAGCATCTGGGACCGCAGCTCGGGGATCAAGCTCTATTCTATCCAGCAGGTTGGTAGCTGGGGAGCAGCCAGGGGAAGCTTGAGGGGGATTCTGTGCTTTTCTGGACCCCACCAAACCCCGCTGCCCACCTGTGCTGGGCTGGTGGCACGAAGGGGCCTCCACTTCAGCTCTGCTTAGAATGACAGAATGGTTTGGGTTGGCAAAGTCCTTTCAGCTCCCCCAGCCCAACCGCTCCCCTACCCC